GGGGAGCTGCAAGTACAGACAGCGATGAATTCCGGGCCAGCCAATGGCCTGAGTCATGCGGGCGGGCTGCGGGAATCAGCACGAGGGGCTTGGTGGCAGTCGGGGTGGGTGGGGCCCTGAGAGCTCAGCTCAGCCTTAACTATAGTGCCCTGGGCCTGCCCTGCTTAGGAGAGGGGCTACAGACTCGCAAAGAGATTGAGACTCCCCTCGGGCCAGGCTCTGCTCAGCCCCCAACCATGGTGCCATCCTTATGCCGAAGAGCTGAATAGACACAGGGCGTGAGGGGAAACTGAGGCACGGTTTGCCCATGGTCAGAGGCAGAGCTTGGGAACAGGGCCCAGATCTCAGGGCCATGCTCATCCCAGGAGGGGGAGAGCACCCCCTGCTGTGCTGTCTGTGAACAGTCACCCCAAGGCCAAGGGGATGCCCTGTCCCCCCTACCTCTCCCAATGAGGGCTGGTGAACTGGCTGCCACCCAATAGCCCTGAGTTCGGGGACCCGCCCCCCATGCTCCCTGTTCTGTCCAACCTCCCCCCCCCATGTTGTAGCTGATGGGTTCTAAGTGGTTGCTAAGCAATCTATGGAATGTGGCGTTGGCAACGGTAACTGGGGGGTGGAGACTGGCGGGGGGGGGGATATGTCCCATCGGCCACCCCCCGCCAACAGAAGGATGGATGCCATGTGAGTGCAGCCTGCTATGGGTCAGAGCCCCAGTACTGCTGCCTCCTGTATGGGGATTCTCAGTGTCCTGTCCTAGTGCTGCATGCGGGCGGGGGGGGGGGGGGGGGGGGGGGAGGAAGGCCACTTGATCCAGACTGTAGTGTGTCTGCCCGGCATTGGCAGCACCCCCCCCACTCTTCCCCCCGTTCCGCCCAACCTCTCTGGGCCTTTTCTGTGTAGTGAGGGGGCTCCCCCCTGAAAGCCGCCCCCCAGCTCCCTGTGCATTGGCTAGGGGAGGGGGACACATGGGGTCAAGTGGCCGGAGGCGATGGATCCCTGTCGGCAGTGGGGGGCCCCTGGGGGTCTGGCTGGCGGGGGCCTGATGCCTGCTGTGCTGCAGGAGCACGGCGGAGGAGAACGCCCGGCTCCGGGAGCTCATTGTGGAGGAGCTGGCGCGGGCCGAGCGCTGGCAGGGGCACTACGAGGCGTTGCTGGAGCGCCAGACCTGGCTCCGCGCCCAGCTGCGGCCCCAGAGGTGAGACTCCGGGGAGGGGGAACAAGCCAGGCAGGGGAGGTGCTGGGATGGCGGTCCCTGGAGGGGCTGGGGGATTCCCTGGCTGTGCCCCTTGTCCCTGCAGCCTGAACGCACTGGAGCAGGCAGCCCGGGCCCTGCGGGAGCAGCTGGAGGAGGCTCAGGGTGCCATGCGGGAGCAGCAAGAACAGAGCCGCCAGCGCCAGCACCGCATCCACCGGCGGGTGAGAGCGCTATGGCAACCGGTGTCTGGCACCATGGGGACCAACACAATGGCAACTGGTGCCCAGCAGCATGGGGACCAATGCCACGGCAACCAGTGTCTGGCACCATGGGAACCAACGTCATGGCTACCGGTGCCTGGCGCCATGGGGACCAACGCCATGGCAACCAGTGCCCAGCACCACGGGGACTGACACATTGGCAACCAGTGCCCAGCACCATGGGAACCAACGTCACAGCTACCAGTACCTGGCACCTGGGGACCGACGCCATGGCAACAGGCGCCCGACACCATGGGGGCTGACACGATGGTAACAGGTGCCTGGAAGCGTGGGGACCAACACCATGGCAACCAGCGCTTGGCACTATGGGGACCAACACCATAGCAACCAGGGGCTGGGTGGCCCCATGTCCTGTCTCCAAGCTCCAGAGCCGGCCAGTCGCACCCAGGGGTGGATCTGAGCAGGCGTCCCCTAGAGGGGAACGGTCCCGTAGCTCAGTTCTCGTTCCCAGAGCCCCTGGTGCGGCGAGCGGCAGGGGGATGTGGCTGCAGACTGGGGCACAGGGGGGGTGGGGGTTGCATGGAGGCAATGGCCGGGCTTAGCAGGAGGCTTAGCACAGAGCTAGGGATCCCCCTGGACCCGACCAGCAACCACAATTTCCCCTCATTGCCCTGCAGGAAAAAGAAAACCAGCGACTGGCTGGGCCCATCCAAGAGCTGGAGGGAAAGGTGAGCTGGGGGGGGGCTGCTCATCAGGGCTCCTGGGTTCTATCCCCAGCTCTCTCACTGTCTGCATGTGGGCCTCAGTTTCCCCATCTTTGAGGTGCTCTGGGATCTACATCCAGACAGGATCATGCTCCACAACTATGGGCCCTGCAGGTCCCGTCCCCCCGTCCTTCCTGCCACCATTTCCCCCCCCCATGTTCTCAGTGGCTGCTGCTCCTTCCCCAGGTCTCAGAGCAGAGGGAGTCGGAGAAGACCCACAAGCAGGCCCTGCAGCAGCTGCTGGTGCAGGGGGATGAGCTGCAGGAGAGCAGCTCATCCCCAACTTGTCTCCTTCCCAGCTCCCATTGGGGGAAACCGAGTCACGAAGGGTTGTTCAGCCTGGGTGGGATGGTGGCTTCTGAACCATGTTTACCCTCCCCACGTGGCTCAACGGGGGAATCCAGACCCCACGGGGGGGGGGGTCACAGACACCCCTTCCACCCAACCATGGGCACGCGTTGTGAGCCAGAGGAGGGAGTGGGGACCCCAGGCACAGGGCTAGTGGGGGTGAGGGCTATAGGCTAAGGGAGACCCAGTGATTTTCCTTCCCCATAGAGGCAGCTGTGGGACATGGAGACCAAACACCAGGCCAGGGCCAACAGGATCAAGGAGGTAACTCCAGGCCCCACCTCTGGGGCTGAGCGCAGGCCCCTCGCTCCCGACCCACGGCCCCTGGCTCCCCCTGTCCAGTCAGTGCCTCTCGCTCCGGATACACAGCCCCCTGCCAGCCCCGCCCCGCCCCAGGCTCTC